GCAGAAGGGAGTGTTTGAGCCCAGCCCCTCGTTTTCCTTAATTACTGCGTTATCAGCACCCTGGCAGTGCAGGAGAAGTATGTGCAATCTCAGGACAAAGCTGTGGAAGAGGAGGTGATGGATCTGTGACACGCCCTTCCCCGCTCCTCTGTTTTGACACTTCTCCTTTTCCTACCCGGAGCTTCAGCTGTGACTCAGAGCAACTGAAAACCTTTCCAGGCAGAGTCTGGACCCTCTCTGGATGGGTTTGACCTCCTGAGCTTCAGGCCTGCTGGCCAGAGCAGGACTTTGGCAGAAGGGAGGTGCCCGAGGGTCTTCCCTAGGAACAGAGAGCCAGGGAAGGCAGGGAGAGCAAGGAAAAGAAGCGAGATAAGGTCTTCTCCATCATGACCAAGACAGATCCAGAGAAAGAAAAATCAGCAGGAGCTGCCTGGTGTGCGGTGAGAGTGGAGGCAGCAGGCCTGGGTGTGCTGCAGGAGGAGCGTGCACAGGCCCCACACTCCCAGAGAATCCAGGCCAGGACGCCTCCACGCCGTCTCAAGGACAGAAAGATGTTTGTTTTTCTTTTTCTTAGAAATAATGATGGACTCTTTCTTAATAAAATGCTCCTCAGTCTCACTTTCATCTTAGAGTTTGCTGAAGCTGAGTAAATAAACCCAGGAGTGCTCTGGAGCCCGAGGCCAAAGGGCCTGTCCCCTGTGCCCTGCTGGGAACAGGCTCAGCCTGGCAGGGCTGGGGGCAGCAGGCAGGGCACAGCTGCTGCTCCTGCACCCATCCAGGGGCACACACACAAAATGCCAGCTCGGCTTCTTTGGGTTAAGAAAGCCCCTGTGTGACTCAGCTCGTGGTTTGCATCTCGGGCCTTTCCCAGGAGCAGCCCTGGGTGTCCTCATCCACCTTCCTTTTCCTGGCCTGGCTTTCTCCTCATCCCAAATCCTGGGGCTTCCCCTCCTGCCCGTGGAATTCCCTCTGGCTGTGCTGCTGCAGCTCCCAGGGCTGGCAGCTGCTCTGAGCCTCCTCCTGTGCTCCCTGCTCTGAGCCCTGCTCCAGGGAGAGCTGGGGGTGGATCAGGGGGTCTGAGGGTAAACTGGGAGGGCTGGGGCTGAATTGGGAGGGCTGGGGCTGAATTGGGAGGGCTGGGGCTGAACTGGGAGGGCTGGGGGTGCCAGGGGGGGTGTCCACATCAGGGAGCCCCCGGGTGCCTCCTGGCAGCCCCACAGGGATGGGAGCAGGCACAGATCCCAGTCCCAGCTCTGCAGACTCAGCATTGCCTCTTGCCCAAGATCTTGCATAAAATACAGCAGGATTTTCTCACAGGATGATTTGGCCCTTGGCAGAGGGATTGGAGACTGGATCCTTGATGGATCTAAATGTGAACAGGGTCTTGGGCAGCTGGGCAAGGAATTAAAATGATTTTTCCCTCATGTCCCAACTCTGTGGCCAGGATTTGGAGACAAGGAGGAGCTCAGGGAGAGGAGGACGCAGACACACAATGCTTGTGCTTCACCCAGACCCCTTCCCAATGAAACTGAGATTTCAGATACCAAAGTCAAATCCCAGAGTGCTGCCAGGGCCTCAGCTCTTCCCAGAGCCCAGGAATTCCCCTGGGTGTTCCTGGCTGGAACCCAGCAGCTGCATTTCAGTGCTGGGGCTCTGGAAGCTAATCTGACCATACCTGAGCTGAAATCCCATCCTCACCCTGTGGCTTGTGGCCTTGTCCTGCTCCTTTTGGGGCTCTGTAGTTGCTGTGAAGGGGTGGGAGACGGGATCATAAAAATATTGATTTTATAGTGGCTTTTTCATGGCTTTGAGAGATTTGGTGGCTTAAAAGGGTATGGTCAGGTCAGGCTGAGTTACGCAAGAGCCATCAAAGCTTTTGTGGCTTTTTGGCTTTTTTATTTGAATGCCCTGGATATCTGCAGCCTCAGCCTTGGGATGGAAACTGCTCAGCTCAGCTCAGGATCCTCTGCTGTGCTCCAGCCAGGAAATGCTCAGGCCTCAGAGAGCTTCAGCCCCAAAACTGCAGCGGTTTTGCACCGAGGAGCTTCTTAGAGATGAATCAGGGGCTGGACTGGGATGCACAGCCCGGAGGGGACAGTTCTGCTCCTGCCCAGGCTGGGCCGGAGCCCCTGGTGTGGAATGCAGGGTGAGAGGCAGCCTGTCCCTGCACCCACACACCCATGGCAGGGAGGGGACACGGCGGGGCTCCCAGGCCAGGGAGGTGACACTCAGGCTGCCAGGGAGGTGACACTCTGGCTGCTGCCACTGCCTTGAGCAATCGGCGGGGCCAAGGGCCAGGATGAGTCACCCCAAGCCTGGCATGTCCCTGGGAGGGGGCCCAGCTTTCTGCTGAGCTTGTCCCACTGCTGAGCCCACCCTGCCCTAAGCTGCTCCTACCTGCTGAGCCCACCCCGACTGTGGGACTGAACCTGAGAGAGGTGTTTTGGGGATGGAGGGATTTGAGCACCCATCACAGCCACAGAACTGGGCTTTCCTGGGTCCCCACAGCGTTCCAGCCCTGATTTCCAGCTCCACCATGGAGCTCCTGCTCAGGAGCTGAGTGGTGCTTTCTAATGGGGATAAAAAACCTACCCAAAAAACGCCAAGGCCCCCAGAGCAGGCAGTGGTGCCAGCCTGGCAGGAGCCGCCAGCGCCAGCCCTGGGCACAAGGCCCTGGGGGAGGCTGGTGACAGGGACAGGCGGGGCTGTGGGTCCTGCAGCTGCCACCCAGGGTGGGCAGAGCCTTTGGCAGGCAGCACAACGTCCCTGCTGGCCCTACAGCCCTGCTTGGTGGCCTTGTCCCCACAGCCACCAGCCCTGGTGTAGGGGCTGTGCCAGGGCCCTGATGGGGCAGTGACTGCGAGGTGGGGACACTCCTTGGCCTGGGCACACAGTCCCTCTGCTCTAAGGGTGTTTAAGACACTAAAATGCATCCATTTGAGAGCTTTTCTGGATGTCCCTTCAGATGGGAATGCCGAGAGCATTCCATGGCCACCGGACAAGGACCAGGCTGGGGATCGAGGTCCCGGTGTCGCCCTGGTCCTTCCACCTGGGTGCCACCATCCTGTGTGAAGCAGGGGGACAGAAGGACCCCAGAGAGCTCCCCAGCAGCACAAGCCTCTCACAGGAGTGTCCTGGGGACCCAGGGCTCCTCCTTCCCAGTCTGGAAAAGCTGCCGGACCGGCTGGGAGCGGGGAGCACCTTCCTCCCACACGGCCCAGCCACGCTGCAATTTCAGGAGCTGTTGAAATCAGTTAACTCCTGGGGAGCCAGGGGGAACCCACAGCCCCAGGGGTGGACAGACACCCCAGTTACCCCTTCCTGGGCACGGCACTGCCAGCTCCAGCCCCGCCATGCCCAGTTTAACCAGTCCAGGTGTCCCCGGGCCGTGGGGTCAGGGCCAGCGCGAGCCCTCGGCTCGTTTGTCCCGCTCTGGCTAATTACAGGGCTGGGGCTGTTCCCAGGCTGGCAGAGCTTGGGGCCAGGGGGAGGCCAAGCTTTGGGGTCCCTCAGGACCAGCCCTGACACTTCTGGGGCCCCAGGGAGCCTCTGGGGGGCCAGGCAGCACCTGGGGTGCTGTGATGGGGCTGGGGAGGGCCAGGGGGCTCACGGGGGCTCGTCCCCTCCGCATCCACCTCTCCAGGTGTCCCATCCAGGTGAGCAGTGCTGGTTTGTGCAGCCCAGCCTCCCACAGCAGAGCCCATCCCAGGCCAGCCCCTCATTCCCTGGGCACCCCACAATTCCTGTGTGCACCAGGGGGGTCACGTCCCTGCTCGTGCCTCATTCCCCAAAGCTCGGGGGTCCCTGCACTCCTCGGGCTGGGATTTGGCCAGGCATGGCTGGGGACTGGCGAGTCCCCCCTGTCCCCCTGCAGCACGTCCTGAGTCAGGCGCCTTTCCTTTCCTTTCCTGCCAGGGCTCCCCATCAAAGGCAGCTCCTGCCCGGCCCTGCTGGCTCTGTGAGCTCATAGCCCAGGGTGCTGTGACTGTATTTTATTGTAATTATCGTTCATGTCGAAACGCGCCGGTGGGGGAAGGGGGAGGGAGCTGCGCCCTTCCCGTGGCCCCGTGCCAGGGCCAGAAATGCTGAGCTTTCACCTGTCCCAGCGCGCCAGCACCTCGAGAGGGATGTGGGACCTCGAGAGGGGCGAGTCCCCACCCCGCTGCCAGCCCAGAGCTGTCCCTGTGTCGCTGCCCATGCAGCTTTTGTGGATTTTCCTCCTTGGAATTAGAGGAGCCATGGGGGAGGACCTGGGAACCCTCACAGGGATGTCAGGGACAGGTTTTGGGGAGCTCTGGCTTTGTATTAATGGGGTTGGGTCAGGGACTTGGGAACTTTGAGCACCTTGTGGAGCAGCCAGGCCTGTGTGGGGCTGCCAAAGCCCCCGCCCCAGGGATGCACGGACTCCTGAGCCCCTCCCCGGGCTGCAGCTCAGCCCAAGACCCTGCTGAAGGGCTGGGGGGCACCGAGGGCAGGCAGGGCTGGGGGGCCCGGCTGCCCCCACCCTGGGACTGGAAGGGGGCGAGGCAGGCCTGGAGCTGCCTGGACATGTGCGCAGGGAGAGACGAGGCAGACGAGAGCAGAGGTGCAGGAGAAGGTTTATTGGAGCACAGAGGCAACACGAGACCCCCTCCCGGAATGGGGGGGCTGCCCGGACCCCCCCTCGCCCCGGCCCAGCCCCTCACCTCCTCCTGTTGCTGCTCCAGCCCTCTGGGACAGGGGGTTTGGAGCTGGCACAAGCCAGACCAGACATCCCCCGCAAAAAAACGTTAAATAGCTGGGGGCTGGCAGCTCTCCGGGACAGAGGCACCCCCTCTCCCTCTTTACCCCCTCCCCAGAGCAGAGGATGGGGAAAGGGAGGGAAGGGCCCTGCCAAAACCACCCCCACTCCCGGTATCCAGGCTGGGGGGAGCTGAGACTCCTCCCCACCAAAACCGACCAAAAAAAAAAAAAAAAACTTTAAAAAAAAAAAAAGACAACCAAAAAAAAAAAACCACGAAGAGATGCCGAAGGGTCTGGAGCGGGGCAGGGGACGCTCAGTTCTTGGGCTCTTCGCCAGCCTCGCCGCCGTCTTCGCCAGCACACTCGGCTGTCCATAGCGTGAGGTTGTCCCTGAGCAGCTGCATGATGAGGGTGCTGTCCTTGTAGGAGTCTTCGCTGAGCGTGTGCAGGTCGCCCATGGCCTCGTCGAAGGTGGTCTTGGCCAGGGAGATGGCCTGCTCGGGGGCGTTGGCGATCTCGTAGTGGAACACGGAGAAGTTGAGGGCCAGCCCCAGGCGGATGGGGTTCGTGGGCTGCATCTCCTTTTTGCTGATGTCCATGGCCTCTTGGTAGGCCTCCTGGGCCTTCTCTATCGTCGACAGGCGGTCGTCCCCGCTGGCCACCTCGGCCAGGTATCGGAAGTAGTCGCCCTTCATCTTCAGGTAGAAGACCTTGCTCTCGGTGTCGCTGTCCTTCTTGATGAGATACTTGTCCAGCAAGCCCAGCACGTTGTTGCAGACGGCGTTCAGCTCCTGCTCCACCTTCTCCCGGTACTCGTTCACCACCTGCGCCTTGTCGTCGCCCTCCTCGGTTTTGTGCTCGATGCTGGAGATGACCCTCCAGGCCGAGCGCTGGCAGCCCACCACGTTCTTGTAGGCCACCGAGAGCAGGTTGCGCTCCTCGTTGGACAGCTCGTCGCCGTGCTCCACCACGGCCTTCATGAAGTCGGCCATGTCCTCGTAGCGCTCAGCCTGCTCGGCCAGCTTGGCCTTCTGCACCTGCTGGTTTCTTGCCATGGCTGGGACGCGGGCGTCGGGCGAGCAGCGGGGCCGGGAGCCGTCGGAGCCTCTGCCGAGCGCCGCCGCCGGGATTCGCTTTTGGCTGCGCGTCGGAGCCTCGAGCGAGAGCAGGAGGAGCCAGCCAGGTCCAAGGAGTGTCCTCCTCCTCCTCCTCCTCTGCTTCCTCCCCGCCGAGCGCGGCCTTAAAAGGAAAATCGCGGTGATTCATCGCCCGCGGGCGGCGGGGCTGGGGAGGGGGCGCGGGGGGCGGCCAACGCCCTGCCCTCCCCGTGGGTGCGGCACCCGCGGGTGCCCCGGGGCTCTCCCCAGAGCCAACGCCCGCCCCGGCACCGGGAAACGCCCTTGGAGCTGCTGAGAGCGCTGGGGAGGCGACGGAGCTGCGCTGTCCTTTGGGGGGGACGGGGACACGGGCAGCGAGCGCTGGGCTCGTCCCCAGCCCGGAGAAATGGGGCACGGGGTGTGGCCGCTCGTGAAAATGGGTCCCACCCCCCCGAAAAAGTCATATCACAGTCGTTTTTAATATGGAGATTGCCTCGGCGGTAATTGCGAGGGCTTGACAGGCAGGTATTTATTCCCACAGGTGGGGAAACCGAGGCAGAGGCTCCGCACCTCTCCCAGGCGCCGCGGGAGGGACCGGCCCAAAAAGCGGGGCACAGTCAGCGCTCGCCTTTGAGCCCCTCACGGTGGGACCCCCCAAAAACGCCCCGTGGTGGGACCAGCGAGGGGAGACCCCATCCCCAGCAGCTCCAGCCCGGGGCTGCCTTTCCCCATCCCAGCGGGGCCGTTCCGCATCTCTCGGGCTGTAAATGAAGAGGTTCACAGCCTCCTCTCTCTGCAGGATTTCGGCTGTTCCGGGCTGGCCGTGGGCCGCGGTGCCCGATAGGGATCTGAGCTGCGCCTTGCGCTGAGTTTCACTCCGAGCCTGTTGCCACACGCCGGGCGCTGCCGCAGCCCCGGCCCCGGCCCGGCCTTATCTCCGTGCGGGAGCGTGCGGGGAGGGCAGGGTGGGGCGGGCGGCTCCGCGCCAAGGCCAAAGGGGGTTGTGATTCTCTCCGAGAGCTCTCGCTGCTTGGCTCCTGCCTGCCGACACCCGGCCGGGATCCCCCCGCGCCTGCTCAGCTCCCACACCAGCCCTGCTGCGATGGAGGAGGCAGGAGAAACATGAGGAGGCTTTTCCCAACCACTTCAAGCCCAGGAAAACACCCCCAGCCTCCACATCACCCCCTCTGCACCCTGGAATTCAGGAAAAAGGGATTCAGGGCCCTTCACTCCTTCCCGGCTGAGCCCCTGACATGTGTTGGGGTTTGGGGTGCCCAGGGCGCCATCGAGGGGCTCCCGTGGCAGCTGCGTGGGGGTGTTCAGCCCCTCCATGGCCCCCACAGCCCCTCCATGGTGAGCTGATCCCAAGGGAACAAGGAACACGTGAGCAGGAGACCACGGGCTGTCCTCCACCCTCTGCCCAGGCAGACCCACAGAGACCCTCCAAAAACTGGGCACCAAACCCACCCCCCCAGCGGGACTGGGGCCAAAGGATCACCCCAAGGTACCCAGCCTGCCCAAACCCACCTCCTTCCCCAGGAAAACCCCAGGCAGGGATCCCTGGGCAGGTTAATCTGAGCTCGCACTCCTTTGGGCAGCAAGGCCATAATTTGGGTTTGGGTCTGCAATCCCCAGGCCTGGTGAAGGACTCAGAGCCTGCCCAGGACCATCCTGCCCCCCTGCATTTGGGGAGACCCCGGTGGGACCCCCCTGCCCAGCAGGGACATGAGTGGGGCAGGGATGGCTCAGCCTGGGGCTGGTGTCTGAGGCAGCCCCTGCCCAAGGGGCTGAGCTGCTGCCCAATTTTGGCTGAGAGGAGGCTCAGGGAGGCTCTGCTCCACCCGTCCCATGGCCAGCAGGGGTGGGTGAAGGGCAGAGCCCAAATCCTGGCCGGGGGGGCTGCACCATCACCCCACAGAGCACCCATGGGTGCCCCAAAGGCTGAAGGGCAATGCCAAAAGGGGCACCCCAAGCCCTTCTGTGGTTCTGTGACCACCCCGGGAGGGGGCACCCGGCGAGCCCAGCCCCGGGGCCGCTGCCCAGGCCGGAGCACGTCCCGGGAGCCCGGGGCAGGCGTGGGCAGCAGGCAGAGGATGCTCGTGGCCGTTCCCAGCGGCAGCGGAGCGATGCTCGGAGCCCGTCTGGCCACCCTGCCCGGCCCTGCTGCTCCCCCTGGCTGTGGGGACGCCGCCAGCTGCCAAACATCAGCGGACAGCGCATTTTTCCGAGGGTGCTCACGGTGCCCCGGGTGCTGCGGGCACTGCCCGTGGCTCGTTCCCAGCTGGAGGAGGGTGCACAGGAGGGCCCTGGATGGCTGAGAGCGGCCCCAGACTGTGCCACGGCCCCGTTTGGGGAGCTCCTGGCTCCCGTGCCCAGCGCTGATGGCACCGCGGCAGTGCCAGCCCTCGGTGGCTCCCCTCGGCTCTGCTCGGACCTGCCCAGGCAGGAGCCGCTCCCCTCCACCCGCCGAGCAGAGCCAGACACCAGAGTACACGAAATAGGAGAAACTTTCATTTTGGTACAAAAGTAAAAGGCATAAACAGACAGTGGATCCTACAGGGCTGGGGCAGGCCTGGCTGCCCCACTCAGCTCTCAGCCCAGCGAGGCTGCTCAAGGCGCTGGAGCCCCTTCCCCTAAATCCAGAGCCGTGCTGGGATGAGGCTGCAGGAGGAGCTGGCCCGGGGGCTGCAGGGATGAACTGACCAGGTACGAATTCCCATCGGGAAAGTCCTGTGGCACATGGACACGGCCTGGAGGGGCTGGGAGGGTTTGGTGCCCCCGGTTTGGCTGCAAATGCTCTGGAGAGATCCTGCTCCTTCCAAAGCCCCGTTGGGACTCCAGCCACGGCGTTTCCAGGCAGGGAGGCATCGGCGCCGTCCCCGAGCGCCCAGCGGCGGCCCCGGCAGGGGCGGGCTGCGGTCATGCACTGGGGGCTGTATGGCTTTGAGCTCCGCTGCCGCCGCCCGGGGCACGGAGGGACGGAGGGAGGGAGCGGAGGCACTCCGGTGGTCATGGCTGTGGGCTCGGCTCCCGTGGCTGCCCCACGAGAGGCTCAGGCTGCTGCTGCGGCGGCGCTGGATCCGCCCGGAGCGAGGGAGAGGAGAGGGGAGGAAGATAAAGAGAGCGTTAGTGCTGGAAATGGAGCTGGGGAGCAGCGGGAGCAGGGCGAGCATCCAGGCGCGCTGGCAGAGGGGCACCAGGCTGGGGCTCAGGGAGGAGGGGCCCGGCCCTGCCCCGAGGCTCGGGAGCTCAGGGGGGCTGCAGGGAGGGGCAGCTCTCGGCCCACAGGCGACACAACCCCTGCCAAGTGCCCCGAAGGAATTTACCTTGGCCACAGGAGGAGGAACAGGTGCTGCAGAGAGGAAAACGGGCAGAGGACCCACAGAACGGGTCAGGGACAGGGGTCCAGACCCGCCCCAGGGGCCAGGGCTCCTCCAAACACCAAACACCAAACCTCTGCTCGGCTGGGGCTCCCTCACACAGCCACGGCAGGCTGGGCTCCAGCCAGAGCTGCAGAGCCCTTGGCCACACGTGTCCCACAGTGTCACACAATGTCACACAGTGCCCCACAGTGTCACACGATGTCACACGGTGTCCCACAGTGTCACACAATGTCACACAGTGCCCCACAGTGTCACACGATGTCCCACAGTGCCCCACAGTGTCCCCATGCAGACCAGGTGGCTCCAGCCCAGCACAAAGCCAGGAAAAGCCAAACCTCTCCTTTTCTGGCAAAGCCTTCCTGTGCCCCTGAGCCCAGAGCCCTGGCACTGTGCCCCTGTGGGGGGATTCTGGTGGGATGGATGGGGCACGGGGATGGCAGCGCAGCTGGGGCGATGGCTCTGAGGCCAGAGCTGTCATGCAGTGCAGATGGGTGGCTGCATGGTGAGAGGGAGAAGGAAGCACTTTCTTACCAGCCAACCCTCAGAAATCAGGGCAAACGTCCGAGGAGGGGCAAATCCCGTCAGGCTGTGCAGGAAATGGCAAAGTCCTGGCAGGCATCCTCCTGGGGAAGACACCAGAGGTTATGCACCTCACACTGCCACAGGGCTGGCACAGATGGGGGCACAGATCCCAGCTGGGGACAGGACACTGAGGTGACAACAGCAGGGAGGGGACGAGCCCCTGCCCAGCCTGGAAACGTGGGACAGCAAATTCCCTTCACTGCAGCAGAGTCACAGCAGCGCCAGCTGCTGCTCATCCCTCCCTGCAGGAGCTTCCAGGAGTTCCCAGGTGAGGCCTGAGCCCAACAGAGTGCAGCTGGCACCTGGGAGATGCCAAACACCGGGACACACCTGCCCCCTTCTGTCTTCAAGGAGGAAATAATCATCCAAGCAGTTAACTCTTTCAAAATAAAATTTTATTGAGTAACAAAGGAAACTGGTTTAAATAAAAACAGGAAGGGGTCTGGCCCCTGGTACCCCCTCCTCACTGCTCCTCTGCCATGCCCCTGGCACAGGCACTTGCAGAGTACAAAGCACGACGCTGGTGAGCTCAGGGGGGCTGGGCTGCCCCCCAAAATGTGCTGCCCCTGCCCAAGGGTGAAACTGGTCTGTCTGATCCAAGGAAACCTGACAGGCAGCACAGCACTGTGAGCCTCTGCCCTGGTGCCAGCGTGCACAGCGCTCCCTGCACAGCACAGAAAATGTTCTACGTAGAAAAAAGTCCCACAAATTGTGCAAAAATATCCAGCAGCTTTGAATAACACGATTCAAGTATTGCTACAAGGTTTGTGACTCTGCCTTCAGCCCAGGGACACGGAGCTGGCTGCCTGGGTGCAAAGGGTGCTCGTGGATGAGCGGCTGGAATGGCTCCCAGGGCCCTGGGGACAGCCCTGGGACACTCTGCTGTTCAGAAACCCAAAGCAAGAGCCCACCACGAGCTTATCAGAGACCAGCACCCCCTCACTGCTTCCCTGTGAAACCCCATCCGGGAAGGAATTCAGGAACTCAGGAATTCTCACACTTTTCTGCTGCCCTTTGGTCTCCCACAGACAGAACACAATCCTGGGAAGCTCCAGCTCCCAAACCTGACCCCTGCAGCCTTGTACATCTCCTGAGAGTCACAGAGCACAGAGTGTTTCTTCTTCCCTGCCAGATGAGGGTCCCCTGACTCATGTCCTTGCTGCAAAACGTGTCTGACCAACTGGCAGGGCCAAAGCAGAGCCTCAGCCAGCACAGGAGCAGCAGGCATCACCCAGGACATCCTCACTTGCCTCCAGGGAGCCAGAACAGCCCTTCCAGGGGAACAGGGAGTGTTGATGGAGCTCACAGGGACACCAGGGAGGTGACACCTCCTCCAGCCCAGCCCTGAGTGGGAATCATCTGCCAGTGCCACCTCCAGCCTTGGCCCATCTCATTCCCAGCAGGAATCACAGCAAGGCCCTGGAGCTCTGGGGGCTCCTGGGGACCCCCTGTTCCAGCACGAGTCCAAGGGTCCCACAAGCAGTTGGGCTCTGTCAGGCAACACCCCTGACAGGCCACCTCACAGTGAAACAAATGAACAAAAAGTAATAAATAAATGTAAAAAAAGAAGGCAACGCATGGCTCGAGTCTTTGGCAGCTCTGGGCGCCAGGGCTGTCCCGCCTGAGGCCGGGCATGAGGCAGGGGAAGGAACTGATGGAGCAAGGTGCAGGCACAGCAGGCACTGGGCACATCACAGCCCTGCTAGGGAATGCCTCCTACCATGCTGGTGTCAGTTTTGGCTCCAAGGGAAGGGATTTCACTCTTGGGACTGGACGGGGTCCCGAGATCTGGCTGGATAAATCCTCGTCTGTCTATCAAACTGCAAAACAGGAAAGGAAGAGCAGGTCAGGGTACAAAGACTGAACCTGGGAGCTCACAGGGAGGCCACAGGGAAGGCTCCTCTCCCAGGAGCTGCAGAGCACAGCACAGGCAGGATGCTGGAGCACAGGGCTCCTGTCCAGCACATGAACCACAGACCCCATCCCATGAGCCACAGACCCCATCCCAGCAGCCACAGACCCCATCCCAGCAGCCACAGACCCCATCCCAGGAGCCACAAGGAGCTCTGGGCCACCACAAACCCAAAGGGGAACTGGCCAAAGGGCTTCACAACATGAAACCCCATGAAAGAGGAACAAACTGGAGTAAAATGCTGTAAAATCTCCTGCCCACAACCTCCCAGCCTGGCTCCCTGAATGCAGGTTGACCA